AGTTGCTTCTCTCCTTGATCAGTTTCCATCCATTGCTTCTCGTCCTGCCTTCAGGTGCCTTGGAGAATAGCTTGACTTACATGCACATCTGGATCCTGAATAAGAAGAAGATGTCATGAGAACATCTGCAAATCATTTTGGGGATCAGAAGGGAGATCAGTCCTAATTCCAAGCAGCCCTGGGTTACTGTTGGGCTGAACCAATCTTCTTTCTCTGATGTATTGTCCAAACAGGATAGGAGGTGGATGAAGAAAATGTTGACTTCTTCATGTTTTCAACATAGAGATAATGTTACAGAGTGGCCCCATCATAACTGGGTTCACTCTAGGAACATCACCTCTCTTTCTTTTAATGCCTTTGCAGCTGCTGGAAGGAGGTGAGAAGCTATTCTATAAAATTCCATGAGAGAAGTAAAAACTCTTTGGGGATGTCTTTGAACATGGAGCTATCTCCATAGCCACCTTCAAGGGAAGTGTCTGGAGAAACCTGAGCAAAGCTGGGGAAAAAAAAAAGACAACCATCATTCAGAAAAGAATCTTTTCTTGTTCACAAGAATTAATTGTTGTAGACAAGTTGACACATGGAATGACCTTTCTTAGCCCCATTTGGCTTAAACACAACCAGAATTAGAGTGCCTACAAGAACTACTCCACTTACAATAACATATTTGAAGTATCTTGGTCTAACTCAAACCATCAAGTTTTAACTTCTATTTGATTTTAATACAATGAATGAAAAGGGATGAACTGGTGCCCATTTGAAACATGCAATTAAAAGAAGAATGGAGATCTGGAAATTAATTTCTTCGCTCTACTTTTAGGAATGGACTAATGGCAAATAGGACCACAATAAAGGAATTCATACTGTTGGGGTTGACTGACAATCCCCAAGTTGCTGTTGGCCTTTTTCTCCTCCTGCTTGGGATTTATCTTTTGACATTAATAGGAAACATGTTGATTGTTATTATCACACTGCTGAATGTTCAGCTCTGTACCCCAATGTATTTCTTCCTGCGACATGTGGCATTGGCAGACATAGGATCCCCAACTACCGTAATTCCCAAAACACTGGTCAACATAGCCACTGGAAGTAAGAGCATCTCTGTAGCTGGTTGCTTCATACAGTTATTTCTAAATTTTGCCTTTGGCACCACTGAGTTCCTTCTAGTGGCCACAATGTCTGTTGATCGCTACATAGCTATCTGTAAACCTCTTCACTACACAACCATCATGAATCCCCGAATCTGCTCATTGCTGGTAATTTGTTGCTGGGCTGGGGGAATATCACTAATTCTAGTTCCATCCATTCCTTTATTTCTGATGCCGTTTTGTGGTCCTAACGTCATGAATCACTTCTTGTGTGACAATGGACCCCTAATGAAGCTGGTCTGTGTTAACAGCAGCTCCCTAGAAATGACTTATTTTGTGGTTGCCGTATTCTCTCTGCTTGGGACCTTAAGTGTCAACATTGTCTCCTATGTCAAAATCATTTCCACCATTTTGCGCATCCCCTCAACTACCGGGAGAAAGAAGACCTTCTCCACTTGTACTTCTCACATGATTGTGGTCACGATGGCTTACGGTACTTGTATTTTCCTGTACATGAAACCAAAGGATGCCAATGAATCCATCTTCAACAAAATGATGACTCTTCTGAGTACTGTCGTGATTCCTTTCCTGGTCCCAATCATATACTGTTTGAGGAACAAACAGGTGCAAGATGCTTTGAGGACTGAACTGAGACAATGGATTGGGTTTTGCAAGAAATTGAGATGATTGGCTATTGATATAGCACTGAATAAGCAGGGGCTGGGATGTGTGTCTCTCTCCGATTATATCTGCGCAGTCTGTCAGGTCAGCAGAGAAGGCATGTTGTGGGTTCCATTTGCCAGGAAATTACATATGGCACATACCAGGAGGCAGGTCTTCTTTGGTATGGAGTCCATCTTGTGTAAACCTTTGCTCCACTCCTCTCCTTAGCTACCCGTTCTGCCGAAGTGGTGCGAACTGGCTGAATCCCACCACTGCCTACGTCCAACCCTTGAATCCCATTGACCCTTATCTAATTCTAAGCAATTAGTTGAGGAGATTCCTGTGCACAGGCTGTTTAGCAATCAATCAGTTTAATTGGACCTTCCTGTGTGGGCCTGTCAGAAATACACTTTCAGGCTTGCAATTATTCTGCTAATGTAACCTTACAATAAAGTGGAATTAGTTCATGGGCATGCTAATTATCTGAACTAGCTCTCAAGGCTGACAGCTGTTAAATTCATGAGGGTTATCATACAGGGAGTCCTCTGCTTACGGCCACAACTGAGTCCAACATTTATGTCATTAAGTGAGACATTGGTTAAGTGAGTTTTGCCCCATTTTATAACCTTTTTGCCACAGTTGTTAAGTGAATCACTACAGTTGTTAAGTTAGTAACAAGATTGTTAAGTGAATCTGGCTTCCCCCATTAACTTTGCTTGTCAGACGGTCGCAAAAGGAGATCACATGACTTCAGGATACTGCAACCATCCATATATCCCTAAGAATATCCCCAAGATATTCAAAAAACCATCACAAATATGAACCAGTGGCCAATTTGGATCACGTGACCACGGGAATGCTGCAATGTTTGTAAGTGTGAAGGGGAAAAAAAGGTTATATCACTTTTTTTTCTGTGGTGTTGTAACTTCAAATGGTCACTAAATGAACTGTTGTAAGTTTTTAAAAAAAGACTGGACAGCCATTTGTCTGAAATGGTATAGGGTTTCCTGCCTGAGCAGGGGGTTGGACTAGATGACCTCCAAGGTCCCTTCCAACTTTATGGTTATGGTTATGTGGAGGACTGCCTGTATTCACTTTTTTTTTTTTAAAACAAAATAGCTCGACAATATGTAACGTTGCAATCGTAGATGGTATAAAGACACTATGGAAAAAAAGAGTGAATCTTAAAGTGACAAAATGGAGCACCTATTAAATAAATGGAAAATTATCATTTCAACCTTGTTTGAATATTTTAATGACATTTGCATTAAACTGAATATCATGTATGGGTTGTTTTTCCTTCCCAGGCTCCTTTCTTGGAAAGCTCTGGAACATGGCTTACACATTCAGACTGGGAAAAAATGTTAGAGCATGCACAGTCTTATTGCGTGAGATAACCCAGGAGTAAACACAGTAAACAGTGGTCTATATTAAATGGTGGTTTATCTTACACTATCTACAATATCATACACCAGGAACAATATACATATACCTGCCAATACAGCAGGATCCAACACACCACAGTTACAGCAGGAAATGGAAGAAAGAGAACACATCAGTGGAGACTTCCCTTTATACAAAGGCTCTTAAAGAGACACAGACCCTGCTGAGTCATTCGCATCTTTACATCTTACATTACATAAGCTGGTTAGCTGTTAAATCATTACCTTGACAAAAAAAAAAAAGAATGGGATGCCACTGTTTTAAATTCTGGCTTTCCCTACAAACCTGACCAGAACTATGAAGAATTTCTGTACCTTCTGAACTGTGGAGGTTTGAGCCTGTTCAAAGAGCTTTTGCAGAATTGTCTTCACCAGGTCATTCCTCAGGGTGTACACAAAAGGACTCAGGAATGGGTTCACTATGCTGCTGAGTAGAGCCGGGATTTTGCGAGCCCCCAAAGTTGATTGCTTAGATGGGATCACGTACAGTAAGATGGAGACACTAGAAGCCATCAAGAACAATGTGAGATGAGATACACATGTGTTGAAGGCCTTCTTCCTCCCAGAGTCAGTGGGGATAACCAAAATAGCAGAGACAATGTAAATATAAGAGACTAAGGTCAGGATCAAAGAACAAACAATGACAATTGATGATAACACAAATAGGATTATTTGTATCGAACTGGTGTCTGTACAAGATAACTTCAGTAGAGGTTCACTGTCACAGAAGAAGTGATCAATGACATTGGAGTGGTAATAGGAGAACCTGGTGACCATGATGGTTGGATAGAGGACAAAGCCAAACCCAGCCAACCAACAAGCCACTACCATTTGAATGCAAAAACAGTCATTCATGATCACCGGATAATGTAAGGGGTTACAGATGGCCACATAGCGGTCATAGGACATACATGTCAAGAGGAAGTATTCCACTGTGCCCAGGAAGAAGTAGAAATAGGATTGGGCCATGCAGCTAGCAAAGGAGATGGTCTTGATTCCAGAGAGGAGATTCCTCAACAAACTGGGAGTAGTCACTGTTGAAAAAAAAAGGTCTAGGACAGAAAGATTGCCAAGGAAGAAATACATTGGTGTATGGAGACAACTGTCAGTAATGGTGATGAACAGAATAGTGAAGTTACCAAATATTGTTGACACATACACCACCATCAGCATTGTGGCCAAGAATATCTCTGCTTTTTGCCCAATCAGAAAGCCCAAGAGGATGAATTCTTTGTAATTGGTGTGGTTTCCCATTTCTAATCAGAATAACAAAATAACATAGTTGGAAGGGACCTTGGAAGTCTTCTAGTCCAACCACCTGCTCAAGCAGGAGACCCTATAACATTCCAGACAAGTGGCTGTCCAGTCTCTTCTTAAAAGCCTCCAGTGATGGAGCACCCACGACTTCTGAAGGGAAGCAGTTCCACTGGTTAATTATCCTCACTGTTAGAAAAATTCTTCTCAGTTCTAGGTTGCTTCTCTCCTTGATTTGTTTTCATCCATTGCTTCTTGTCCTGCCTTCTGGTGCTTTGGAAAATAAGTTAATCCCCTCTTCTTTGTGTCAGCCACTCAAATATTGGAACACTGCTGATCTCACAAAGAAAAGAAAAAGAAGAGTTGGCTTCAGAGAAAGAGGCTTTCTTTTCCAAGAAAGAAGCATGATTCAACAATAACAGTCTACTTCTTCCCTTGTTTGACATTCAAAAACTTTCTTCTCCCATTCCTTTTATACATGCTTTGGCCCATGATGATGATGATGATGATGATGATAATAATAATAATAATAATAATAATAATAATAATAATAATAATAATAATAATAATAATAATAATAATAATAATAATAATAATAATAATAATAATAATAATAATAATAATAATAAAAATAAAAAAAAGTTGGAAGGGACCTTGGAGGTCATCTAGTTTAACCCCCTGCTCAGGCAGGTAACCCTATACCATTTCGGACAAATGGCTGTCCAGTCTCTTCTTAAAAACTTCCAGTGTTGGAGCATTCACCGCTTCTGGAGACAGGTTGTTCCACTGGTTAATTGTTCTCACTGTCAGGAAGTTTCTCCTTAGTTCTAGGTTGCTTCTCTCCTTGGTTAGTTTCCATCCATTGCTTCTTGTCCTGCCTTCAGGTGCTTTGGAGAATAGCTTGACACCCTCTTCTTTGTGGCAGCCCCTGAGATATTGGAAGACTACTATCATGTCCCCCCTCATCCTTCTCTTCGTTAAACTAGACATACCCAATTCCAGCAACCATTCCTTATATGTTTTAGCCTCCAGTCCCCTAATCATCTTTGTTGCTCTTCTCTGCACTCTTTCTAGAGTCTCAGCATCTTTTGTACATCGTGGTGACCAAAACTGGATGCAGTATTCCAAGTGTGGCCTTACTAAGGCACTGTAAAGTGGTATTAACACTTCAGGTGATTATACAAAGCCATTATACAAAGCCATCTCATTGGGGATAGTCCTAGAAAAGGGCTGAGCTCACCCAACTGCTAGACTAGGCTAAATTGGAGTTGAACAGTTCACCAATTAAAATCAAAATGTGCTGTGGGAGTCTAGGATATGTCTTATCTGCCTGTATGAATCAATTCTTCGAGCATAAACTGATTCATTCACTGAAGAAATTAACTTATCTGAACCCAGGAATTCTGGCTTGTTAAGCCAGAAGTCAGCATCCTGTGCAAAAGAAATATTTTGAGAAAGGATTGTTTTTTGTATTCTCATCTCTGCCTATCTAGACAGATTTCACACATGTTCTTGCAGGTAGCTGTTACCGTAGATTTGAATTTTAACAATGCTACTGTAATTTTTGGATTTTGTTTTAAAAATGTAAGTACTAAATTCCAAAGGTTGTTTCTTCCTTCATTGCTTTCTGATCCTAAACTACCTTCACAATAAGAGATCAGTTATGCCCTCTTTCCTTCAAATAATAAAACAAAAGTCTGCAGCCAAGCTAACAAACAATCTTCCAGCCAAAGTTTCTTCGCGTGGTTTCACTGTTTAGCTCTTTCTCCCCTCTCCCGTTTTGATCCTTGTGTTCAACTAAAGTTCTTCTTAGATTAGACCTACAATAGTTTCATTTAGGAACTGATGGACATAAAAGTAGATCCACCTTTTCTATTACCCTAAAATAAAATGTAAACATATATGGACATTTACAGGTTTTGGTTTAGCAGCTAGGTTTGGGTTGATGTAAGTTTCATATTTTAGCCTTTAAAAGATTTTCCTTCCTTCCTTCCTTCCTTCCTTCCTTCCTTCCTTCCTTCCTTCCTTCCTTCCTTCCTTCCTCCCTCCCTCCCTTCTTTCCTTCTTTCCTTCCTTCCTTCCTCCCTCCCTTCTTTCCTTCCTTCTTTCTTTCCTTCCTTTCTTCCTATAGCTATATACCCCAAGCACCTTTGCATAGACTTGCAATATTTTCCATATATTCACAAAACCATAAAACCATTCTATTCAAGCCTTCCATTCTCCCTCCCTCCCTCTCTTTCTCCCTCTCTCCCTCCCTTCCTCCCTCCCTCCCTCCCTAGCATAGCCATGTCATTCGACTTCAGGTATGACTTATACTGTATGTTCTTC